CCCCAAAACCCCAAAACCCCAAAACCCCAAAACCCCAAAACCCCGAGTCTTTAAACCCCATTGAGACATACTTAATTATTGGTTTCTTTCTAATTATTCTACTAGTTGTTCTTCTTCAGCATAACCTTCACCTTCCATATGCTCCTCAGCAAATCCTTCTTGAGCTTCTTCTGCTTCTTCTTCAGCTGCTACTTCTTCCGCTCCTTCAGCAGTATTGACAATGTTAAGGTTTCCACTCTCGTCTACTTCTACCTTCTCGTCTTCAGTGGCATAGAGAATCTTTAAGACCATATCTACGGCTGGGACTTCTTGATCTTGATGTGCTTGGAGGAGAACTTCTATATCTCTAAGTTTTCCAAAGTAGAAGTCTCTCTCTTTCTCTAAAGTATCTGAAGTAAGCTTTAATTCAGCAACTTCTCCCTCCAGTTCAGTGATCTTCTTCTTTTGAGCAGCAGATCCTGCTCCTCCTCCAATCGCAGCTCCTGTGGGCTTAGAAAATTTCTTGGTAGTCGGTCCAGAAGAAGTTGGTGGATTAAACTTTTTCCTTGGGGGAGCAGCACCCATGCCTCCAGCCTTCTTAACTGGCTTATTGCCAGATCCGATGTAGAAGAGATCTTGTCCTTTTCTTCTGGAGATAGCATCGTAAGGTTCTCCGTTATAGTTCAAATCGAAATACCTCTTAAGCCATTGCATAAATTCTAAATTATCTTGGTATTTAGCCTTTACTAGCTTGGTTACTTCAATATGCCTAGTGATACCGTTCTTATCAAATGCTTTCTGAAGAATTTTATAATTGTTAACAAACTCATACTCATGCTTAGCTCCCCAGTTTACCTTTCCAATCGGAAAAGTACCTGGATAGATAGAATCGATGATTTGACAATAGACTGATCCTGTAGCTCACTGCTCAATCTTGGTAAGGCCTAAGTCTAACAATTCATTGGCCCACTGTAAAAGCTCGCCTCTTCCTACAAAGAAGGCGCCTTCCATCATTCCTATCGAATCTCCGCTCATTTTTCTTATAATGTAATTTTCAAAATATTCTTTAATATTTGGGGTTTTGGGGTTTTGGGGTTTTGGGGTTTTGGGGTTTTGGGGTTTTGGGG